ACCCAACTCTCTCTCCCTCTCCCTCTCTCTCTCTCTCTCTCTCTCTCTCTCTCATTATCTTCGTTATATTTGCAGAAGTAAGATACATTATACATTTATGGGCTGAATGTTATAATTATTGAGTTTACGGTAAAGTTTTCCGGCCTGCTGGAGAGAGAGAGGCCTTTAGGAGCTGTCATGTATTATCATATATTCAATGCTGTTTTTTAATTAAAGTTTGAATAAACTCTGTATAACTTTCGAGTTATTTTTCTTCCCACATTTGTCATAACCAAGACATCTGTTATCAGTTTTTGTTCATGCTACTATCAGTTTTCCTTTTTTTAACTATGCCCAAAAAACTTTTTTTGCAATCTCAGCTGACAGCTTTAAAATTTGTGCAATGGCAGATTGTTGTAATGTTTATCGCTTGGAAATGTTAGTACTAATCTGAAGGACAATAACCGACAAAATTTGACAATATATTTATTCACCCTCACGCAATTCCAAACACCATTGATTGTTTGGGGTCGGTAACATTTTTTAATGTTTGTGAAAGAAGTCTCATGCTTACCAAGGCTACATTTATTATTATTATTATTAGTAGTAGTAGTAGTATTAGTATTGATATTACAATATATTATTTGATATTGCAATATATTTTAAAGTGTAATTTATTCGTCACATGATCCTTCAGAAATCACTTTTATATGCTGATTTGTGTCTTTAAGAAACCTTTTTAAAATCAGGATTCTGAAGAAAGTTCAAAATAACAGCATTATTTGAAATAGATTTTTTTTGTATAAATGTATTTACTGTAACTTTTGATCTTTTAATGCAACTTTGTTGAATGAAATTATTAACTTTTTTTTTAAATGACCCCAAACTTTTAAATGATAGTGTACTGTAGGTGTTCCTTTCCTTTCCTTTACATATACTATATACATTTATATATTAAAAATGATGCGTCAAGATGCATGGTGCCAGTTTTGATGTCAGTCACAATCGGCCACGAGGCACCATATGTGAATGTACCTTAAAACCAATGACACAAATTACAGCGAGATTTTCAGCAAGTCGTATGGCTTCAGAAGACTTTGAATATACAGTATCACAAATCAAATCAGCAGTATCACAAATATATGCTGATTTATTTATGTGTCTATTTATTTGTGTTTAATTTTTTGGAGCTCAACAATTTCCTATTCAGTTTGGAATAGCATTAGAGTTTGTAAATGATGACAGGATTTTCATTTTTGGTGAACTGTTCCATTAATGCAAGCTAGACTACTCTCTGTCTGTGATGGCTCTATGTTAAATGATATGTTCACGGATTGATTGACCACTCAGTAATTTGTTATCTGATCCTCAAAGAAAGTCTTACACACAGAGTACTAATTGATTAATGCAATCGACTCGTGTTGTGCTGCGGCCTGCACATGTGACTGACAGATATGTTTGCTTGTTCACATGTTTACCTTAGGTTATGAGTGAACTTACAGCTTGGTGATCCACATAGACAAGCCAATGAGAGGATGGCCAGAGGTCACATGATCTACAGAAGCGCCTACAAGCCGGTACTATTGATTCTACTCTGCGTGCTCCAGCTGGCGCATACGCAAAGTGAGTACACAGACATCAAATACATATAAAACAGAGGCTGAAATGAATCCTCTGAAACTCAGAATGATTGCTGGCTCTTTTTGTGAAATATTCTTCTTCCCCACCTGTGCAAAGGATAAAGGCACACTTTAATGCAGCTTACAAAGTAGTATGTAATTAAAAAATAAGGTTTTTGAACATGCTAAGCAATTTCATCATGCTAAACCAGTTGGATGGATTATAATACTATCCTCCATTTGTTTCTTTCCCTGCACCAAATGTCCGGATCAGTGTTTACAAGACAACTGTGGCCTTCGCTGACTACGTAAAGAAATGACGTCAACGTTTAATACATGGATTTTTAGCTTTTCATTTGATGACCACGTTAAAACATTAAAGAAGATAATCAGGCCGGCATTATGTTATTCTCTATTAGAAGAGGAAAGAAATACCATTGTGTTTTTAGTTGTTAAGAATTTACGGGCTGAAAAAAAGATGACATTTTTATTCAAATATAATCAATTGTATTTGTATTTAATTTATTAAATTGATTTATGATTTATTTTTTTATTAAATTATTTTATATTAATTATTATAAACATTGTTCTCTCTTTGGTCTTTGTAATTGTGTTTTATAAAAATGTAAGAGTAGTTGCACTCAAGGGCTTTCTTTTGTAGACGTTATCTGAGCCTTTGCAGATTAAAGCATGTAAAGTGAAGATGAAGAGATTTCATCGTACATCATCTGGGGGGATGACACAAACTTTCACCCACGCACTCACTTCATTGTTCTGTTTGAACCTGAGCTGAGCCTTTGGCTAGTTACACATGCCGTTAGTTTAGAGCTGCTGGTCAGTGGGTTATAGTGCAGATTAATGTGACATCATCCTTAGATCGAGTGGATTAGCAAGCACTGCAGACTGCATCAATCCCACCGCTTATCTGCACTTTCCTCATCTACAAGAGTTAATTCACTCCGTCTTTCGTATTAACTGTAATGCACTTTTAATGCACACATGAAGTCACAGCCTGATTTTCAAATAGGTTTTATGATTTTAAAGTCAAAGTCAAATTTATTGTCATTTTAACAATGTGGTAATTATTTTAAGACTTGGCTTTACTTTTAAACGTTTTCCACATGATTCGTTCTTGCGTGCAAAAACAGCTGGACCGAGTGGAATGTAATGAAGTGGCATAGAATGCAAGGGTTGTTCTCATGGCACAAGATGCTGAAACTAACATATTAAGTTACAGACCAGAACTTTTGCCATTCCTGCCAGTGATAATAATCATTAAAATAATCATAAATATTTCTTACCATGATTTTTACTGGTATCATAAACAAAATGTAATAAAATGTAGTATTTAGTACTGTATTTAATACTACAGTTCCTAAATCATTATGGTTCATTGTCGAGACATTTTTTTATCTGAATTTTAGAAAGAAAATTATTTTATTTTATTTTATTTGAAATGACTGATTTTAGTTTTTAGCGTTTTAGTTTTTTATTTATTTAGATAGAGTAGTATAGGAATTTAATATTTAGTACAATGTAACAATAAAAATAGGCTTAAGTTACAGATAGGGTTTAAAAAATAACAAGCACCAAATGCAGGTAAAAAATTCTTGCCAGCTGACCCATGAAGTTTTTAGAACTGCAATACTAAATGCTAAATTTTTTTTGTTTTATTTCATTTAAAACGATAGAATTCAAAACAATTGATTTTATTTTAGTGTGTTTTTTTTATTTAAACATAGGAGTATAGAATTGTAATGTTAAAATAATTAATAATTCAATAATTATTGAATGAATGCATGAATGAGGCAAATACAGCGCTTTATTGTGTATTGCTGTACACCCAAAGCGCTTTACAATCATATGGGGGGGGTCTCTCCTCGCAGAGCTGTTTGTCGTCTACAAGAATAGGTCCTTAATGAAAGAAAACATTTAAAAACAAAATGTATGCTACTTTGCATAACATCTGCATAAGATCACCTTCACCTTGTGAAGATCGAAGCCCTCCATTGAAGGCAGAGGTGTGAGTGTAATGCTTGTTTGTATTTGTTTATTTCAGAGGACCAGCTTCCCACTGGTTTCCCTTCTATAGATATGGGCCCTCAGCTGAAGGTTGTGGAGCGTTCTCGCACCGCTACCATGCTGTGTGCAGCCAGCGGAACACCTGACCCTGAGATCACCTGGTTTAAAGATTTCCTCCCCATAGATACACACACTCATGGGCGGATCAAACAGCTACGCTCAGGTTTGTGTGCTCTGAAGCATTCACACGGTCTCTGTGCATATGATGTTTTACACATAAAAAATTAAAAATAAATTTACATATATGTTTTAAATGATGTACACTCACATGAGATGAAGAGTCGTATCAGTAGTTTAAAATTTTTTTATTCTAGATGGAGAAATTACATGACCAGCAGTTTTGCTTGTAAAAACAAGTTACAAATATTAATGATATTATTAATAATAATAAGATAATATGTTTACTTCAGATACATAATTCATTAGTGATGCACCAATATTGAAATTTATACCACTATGGTAATAATTCATACAAAGTTTAGGGTCAGTTATCAAATTAATACTTTTTAATATTTTTTCACCATTAAATTGATCAAAAGTGACAGTAAAGACTTGTTTTAATGTTTCAAAAGATTTCCATTACAAATAAATAAATCTGAAAAAAAATGACTGTTTCTACAAAAATATTAAGCAACATTGATTATAATATGAAATATTTCTTGAGCATCAAATCAGCATATTAGAATGATTTCTGAAGGATCATGTGGCACTGAAGACTGGAGTAATGATGATTTGCATCACAGAAATAAATTACATTGTAAAATATATTAAAATATTTTTTTTATTATTTTAAATTGTAATTATATTTCACAATATTACTGTTTTTACTGTATTTTCGATAAAATAATGCAGTTTTAGTAAACATGAGAGACTTTAAAATACATTTTAAAAAACATACCAAAACTTTTAAATGTGTATATAATGTATATTATGCATTGCTATATACTTTAGGAAACATAATAATAAAAGTACTTCTAAACAGAACAAGGAAACCAGAGAATACAATACACATACACAAGACTCATCATAACAGTGGGAAAAATCAATTGTCATGCAGTCACTGCCAGACCGATGTAACAAACCATAAGAGCCAACAATTCCCATGCTCTGAGTGCACCTCACAAAATCTCTGAGTGCACCTTTAAAGAAATCCTGTAGCCTAATATGCTTTCTCTGACACACACAGAAAGTCTCAAACACACTGTTTTTGCTGTGCGAGAACCATAAGTGATAAATGTGCTGTCTCTCTTTCTGTGTTTTAATCTACAGAGTCCTTTGGTAAGTGTGCTATTCTGAGGCACAACACACACTCACATGTTCAAGCACAAAACAAACAAACATGTAGTTATTGATTAAGCGCATGATATATCTATATATTGTATTCCCCCTAACAGTATAGTCCCCCTCTCTCCACACACATAGTCACACAGCAGTCATGTACAGTAGATACAGTCCCCTTTACCTGAGCGCTGCCCCTCTAACGTGTGATACTGAGCCTCTCGCTTCCACTCTCACTTACTTTTTCTGGCTCTCTCCTTCACTGGCTCACTCGTTCACTTCTCCAAACGCTCACTGCCCTCGGCATTGGATTTCCTGCATCACTGCCCCCTCTCACTCTTTCAGATCTCTCTCTTTCTCTCTCTCTTTCTTTCACTTTGTTGCCTAGATAGGTTTGAATGTCCTAATGCTGAATGTTACAGTGGCTTTTCACCCAAAACCGTGGCCTTTTTTGGCTTTCCTCTCTCTCTGGGCTCGAGTCTGCCTGTCTTAAGTCTCTGTGTTCTTTTCAATTATTATTCATAAGGATATTTTCTCTATTGCGCTGGTTTTATAATCTGCTTTCTTAGAAATGGAGGTGTCATACAGAGGTTGTGCTACAAATAATCACTGTCTGCCACTGACGGACTTGGTTGTACATTTTCCATCATGTTCTGTCAGGGTTTTTTTTTTCTGTTAGTAAAATACATGTAACACTTGGTATTTATAGTGTGACATTGATATCACAACAGTATAGCAGAGTAGCAGATTCTTGACTTTTTATTGCACTCTTTGGTCTTGTAATCTGGACAACCAATTTAAAGCTGCAGTCCTTAACTTTTGAAGATCTAGCGGTTAATAAACAGAACTGCGTGCGTCTTGTAGAAGAATATTGTAGCCGGAGCTACTTCTCTCTGTTTAGGTCTATGACGAATCACGCAGGTACTGGGATACTCCACAGCGGTTCCACCAGTACCAGTGTGAAATAGTCCGAATATAAACACTTACTATAGTTGTACCGTAGTGATTCAGGATAAGCCAAAAACACGGTTTGGAAAATGCATTCATGGTGTACTCGCTTATTATATTAATTTTGTACATTTTGAACACAAAAAAAGTTACGGACTGCAGTTTTAATACAAACAATATTTCATGAATTATTCAACTGGACTGCATTTGCAATCGGTTGTTTTTCTCTCAAACCATTAATTACATTTCACAGGGGTGCTTTAAAACTTTTTCCACCTTTTTACTTATGTACCTATTTTAGTATGAGAATGCTTAAAAAGGGTTTCTGGAACAGGGATACATAATAGACCAGGTGCCGTATGTTTGTGAAAAATGAAATTAATTTAAAGCATTTTTTATTTTTTAAAATAATTTATTTTAATTATATTTTAAAATAAAATAAAAAAAAGAATAATATACAAATCTGAATATTTATAATCGTAAATATTTTTAAAATGTGCTAAATTACGGAAAATGTTCTTTTCTGTTCAGTTAATACAACCTCTTTTGTCATCTCATAAAAACCCAATGTTCACTTTGCACTTAAGACATGAAGAGTCTCCCTCCTCCCCTTTTTCTCTTTTTCTTGCACTGTTTTTTTTGCTGTTTCTATTCTATCCCTCTATCTTTCTGTTTTCTTTCTCTGTATCTTTTTCGCTCTCTCTGTCACTCTGTCTTTTTCTCATTCTCCCTCGCTGCACTAACTCGTCTTCTCTTTAATCTCCCATTTGCTTTCATTCTCACACATCCAGGGGGTACACCTATCCGAGGTAAGAGACTAAAGCAACCCACCACATCTATCCTCGCCTTACCGCTCTCTTTCTTCCTTCCTCTTCCCCTTCCCTTCCTCTCTCTTTTTCTCTGTTTGACTAACCGTGTCATTTTCAGAGACTGTTTATCATGATTAATGTTCTGTCACCATGATAAGACTTCCTCCCCTTTACACAGATCTTATCTCAATGTGTTTTTTTTCATGGTAAATTAAAATCAAATAGGCATTAAACAGCCAAGGACTAAAAGCCACGAAAATCTACTTTTATTCCCCCTCCACTCTAGAATGGTTGCACCATTGCTTAAAAGGAAAAAAATATGATGTAAATGCAATAATTTGTAGTTGAGGAACAGATATGAGAGATGGCTTGTGTTTTCCACCTAAATAGATATGAAACTGGCTAAATCATCTTATATTATCTTGTACTGTGAAATGTAGACCATTAAGTTAGCAATTTCAGTGACATGTTTTGCTGTCACTAACATTACAGAAAATACTGACGTTTTTGTGAAATACTGTTGCTTTGCATTTTTTCCTGTTTTCGCTGATTTTCTCACGCTCTTCTGATCCCTCTGTGGATCTTTTCACTTCTTTCTCTCTCTAATTAAACACCATTTCATTTTCAGCTACAAATTTCTACTTGGATGATAAATCAGGCTATTTTATATTTATATCTTGTCTTTTTAATGAAGCCTTTTTAGAATCTGCTCTACATGCAGTGCAACAGTCTGTGTCTCTTGGAGTCATTTCTGTCTGTTTGTGTCTCTATCTAACTATTAATATTTAAATAACATTGTTGAAAGAGGCTGACTGCTTTTCTTTTTCTCTTCGGCAAGGTCACTTGTTTGATTGTTTTGAGATTTTAAGGCAATATTTTGGTTTATTTTATTCTTGAAAAGTTGTTCTTGGAAAGTTTGTAATACTGCAATGATTGTTATACTCTTTAACTTTTTTTATTTTGTGCTGATATTTACATGCAAACCAGTTTGTGTGGTGTTGGCATGTCTGAGTTACTGTTAACAAAATGATACAGGTGCAGTACAAATTAAGCTCTACGTAAAGCATCTGTGACATGCTGTTCCACTGAAAAGAGGGAATGTATTGTGCCGGGATAATCTGTAAAATGCATACATACAGTAGAAATTGTTGCTACTGTATACACTAGCATGATAGAATTGCTTACTAACTTTGTAAAATTGTATATAAAAAAGTATATGCCTGTCAGTAGAGCTTAACTTGTACACAACCCAGAACATTTCTTCTAAAGTACTGAGCTGGTGACAAAGTGTGTCGTCATGTTGTAAATGTAAATGCCTTTATATGTGCATATGTATCCAGGTGCACTTCAGATTGATCAGAGTGAAGAAACCGATCAGGGTAAATACGAGTGTGTCGCGACCAACAGCGAAGGAACGCGCTACTCAACACCAGCTAACCTTTATGTCAGAGGTACAGCTTTGTGTTACTTATCTGAGTGCTATAGAATTAGAAAATAAAACCTGTAACTAACACATTTTTATGAATAGTGTAATCTGATCTGTCTGATTCTTCTTAGATCATCTCCTCTTACCTTAGATATGTTGTCATTATTTGTTTTTTTCTATGCTAATTTCTCACTGCCGGACTCCTCTATAGAGTTAAGAGATGGTAAGTGCTCTTCCTCTGCAACCAATGCTCTGTTTCTTACTCTAACCTAAGTCTCAGACCCTCACATCCACATAATCCTTCCCCTCCACTGGGATTCCCTCCCTCCGGTCTAACTCACTTTCCAGATCCTAATACTGCATATGTCATTTGACACTAATCCGCCATATTTCACCTGATCCTACTTAACCGCATTCCATAACATCATGCTAATAGCTAATTATATCATAGTAATGCTGTGTACTCATTTGAACGTGTCCATCTGAAAAAACAAAAAGTAATACAATTTAATTCATGAATTCATCTTGGTTATATGGGCGTTTTATGTTATAGAATACTGTGATACCATCATTTTCTGTATTTTCACAATTTATAAGCAGGGGAGAGAACAGTTTGTTTGTTTGCAAGTAAAAATTAGATACAGTAGAAGGGAAATTAACAGTATAATATATAATATATTCCATGGTGTCCTAATGAAATTACAAGAAAGCATACATAACACAAGACTATAACAAATACATATTACTAAAGAAATACTTTACAATAAGGTTTCATTTGTTAATATCAGTTAAATGCATTAGTTAACATGAACTAACTATGAAATATACTTCTAAAGCATTTATATGTTAGTTAATATTATTTAATGGTCCATGAACTAACAGTACATTTTTTAATATGAATATGATTTATAATACAATTTCTGTTTTATGGAATATATTCTGTTTAATATTAATATGATTTAGAATATAATTTACTAATGCATAACAATTTTATTTTGCTGCATATTATTAGCATTTTCATAAACCAGCCAGTAAAAGCCAGTGGTTTTTTTCCTTTTATTTTCAAATCAACTTTTTTCTTTCTCTCTTTTTTCAATATCTAATTACATTTAAATAACAAATTCGGCATCACTGTCTGGTACACTTAACCCCACAACTACCATTTTGGGGAAAATGCTTCTTTTAATTCTTTGTGGCTAATTTTTAACAAATTTCTACCTTGTATCAATTCACCAACTTGTATGAAATATATTTTTAAGCCTGCATAAATTTGCTTTACAATGTACAGTGTGTACTTTGTCATGTCAAAATCAGTGTTTATCTTTAAAAAATGTGTAGCACTTTTCTCATGTGGTCACAGGCAGCTGTGTTTGATGGGTCCTTTCAAATTATATGGCCAGTCACAAAAATTATGCATAGTCTGGGACATTAAAGAGGAGGCACAGCCACATCTTATCCCACTCTTCACTATAACACAGATTGATAACCTGCAGCGTACAACATCTTGAGGGCGTATCTTATTAGGCGCAGTGTTCTCTGTAGCATTAATAATGCCTTTAGCATGAGTTAATAAATGGCTCACTGTCTTTCACACCCTCAGTGCGTCGCATCCCTCCTCGCTTCTCAGTACCACCGATGGATTATGAGATCATGCCGGGAGGAAGTGTGAATATCTCCTGTCAGGCAGTGGGCGTTCCCATGCCATATGTCAAATGGATGCTGGGAGCAGAGGATTTGACTCCAGAAGATGACATGCCTATTGGGCGGAATGTTTTAGAGCTCACAGATGTACGCCAGTCTGTCAACTACACGTGTGTGGCCATGTCGACTCTCGGAGTTATTGAAACTGTTGCCCAGATCACAGTTAAAGGTACGCAGGAGTGATATTTAAAAGGCTCTTTGAAGATGGTTAATGTTATTAAAGAAAGAAAAACCTTTTAGTTAAGCAATATGTTCCATGGGCAGAGTCAGTATTTAGGAAGCAGGGTGGCTGATGGTTGTTCAAAAGCCTAGTGAGCTGGCTTGACTTATGAAATATGACTTCATAAGTCAACGACTTGGAACATTCTTCATAGGCAGCAACTCACTCTGAGTGCACACAAAATCAACATTTGTCTCACTTCCTTCACCGTCTTAATATTTGTTTGACTGAGCTGGTTTCAGTGCATTGAGATTACCTTCCCTGTAAGAAAAAAGCATTTCTGCTTTTGAATTTGGCCAAAAATAGCTTTTTTAGGAGGTATCATTACTACATTCTGGAACAACCTTCACATTAGGTCTGTGGAGCCTTACGTGCTATACCATATGTAATGATGATACTCAATGAAAATGATTTTTAAAAAACGTCACCATGGCTGCTTTTATTTGGTTGTAAATACAGTAAAACAGTTATATTGTGAATTTTTACAATTTAAAATAACTTTTCTATTTTAATATATTTTAAAATGTAATTTATTCCTGTGATGACAAAGCTGAATTTTTATCAGCCATTACCCTATTCTTCTGTCACATGATCCTTTAGAAATCATTAAATGTTGATTTGATGCTCAACTAACATTCTTATTATATGTTATTATATTTTAAGTTAAAAACAGTCGTGGTGCTTAATATTTTTGTGGAAACAGTGATACATTTTTTCATGATTCTTTGATGAATTGAAAGTTCAAAAGAACATCATTTACTGTATTTGAAACAAAATATTTGTGTATGTAATGTACAAATATAATTCTTTACTCTTACGTTTGATCAGTTTAATGCATCCTTGCTTAATAAAAGTATAAATGTAATGAAAAATATACATACTTTTGAACGATTTTCACTTAAATATTACACAGCACACAATATTAAATAAATAGTTATTTAATATTTTAAATAAATGTCCCTAATTGATCCATTTCCTCCTCTGTAGCCCTTCCCAATCCTTCAGGAGCTCCGGTTGTCATGGAGCGATCTGCCACCAGCATTACTCTAATGTGGGACAGTGGAAATCCACTTCCTGTATCTTACTACATCATTCAGTATCGTCCCGCCTCCTCCACCGACCCCTTTAAAGAAATTGATGCCATAGCAACAACTCGTTACAGCGTGGGTGGACTCAGCCCCTACTCGCACTACCATTTCCGGGTTATGGCGGTGAATTCGATTGGCCGCGGCCCACCGAGTCAAACCGTGGAAGCTCGCACGGCCGAACAGGCGCCTAGTTCCCCTCCTCGTCGTGTCAGAGGTCGTATGCTGAGTGGTTCCACAGCAATGGTGCAGTGGGAGGAGCCAGAGGAAGCCAACGGTCAGGTGGTTGGTTACAGGGTGTATTACACCTCGGATTCGTCACTATCTGTGAGCCAATGGGAGAAGGAAATGGTTCGAGGGGCGAATTTTTTGAACATACGAGACCTGACACCGAACAAAACCTATTATATTAGAGTTCTCGCTTTCACTGCAGTGGGAGATGGACCTCTTTCCAGCGATCTGCACATCATTGCCAAGACAGGAGGTGTGCAGAATGTGAAGTTGAGATTATTTTATCGATTCTAATATTGCAGCCTATTTTGTTTCTGTTGCATCATTCTCTAAGCATCGTCTTTCTGCCTCCTCTCATTTCTAGTCCCATCCCAGCCCACAGAACTGAAGGCAGAGGTGAAATCAGAGACCAGCATTCTTCTGTCGTGGATCCCTCCTGCTCACAGTGGTACAGATGCCATCACTGGTTATGAGCTCATTTACAGGCTTGGAGACCAGCCAGAGCAGGTACACACAGACACACACATACGACACGTTTGCATTTTGTAGAGTCTTGCTTAATGCTAATTACTTTAAACCTCTATCTTCCAGAAAATATCATTTGATCCAAGCTCCAGTTATCTGCTGAAGAATCTGAAGCCATTTTCCACCTACATATTTCAACTAGCAGCGCGCAGCAAACACGGCCTGGGGGCATTCACCAGTGAAATCACTGTTCAGACTCCACAAACACGTATGTTCTGTGTAAAGCTTTTCTAAAACAGATACAAGCACAGACACCTTTCTCCTTGCTAAAAACACCAAGATATGCGTTTTAAATGGTGGTGTGCTGGCAGGCTTCTTAACTAATTTTACCAGCAAGATGTCCTTTAATCAGCTCAGTCAGCTTCACTATAAAGATCATAATGGTTGAGCAGTTTAACCAGCTAAATTTTTCAGCTTAATTCAGCTTTGTTTTTTCAACATAGTCCACACTGGTGTTGGGAAGCTAGAAACTGTAGCTTCCCAAATTGCAAGCTTTTTTATTCAATTTACTTTCAAAGTATTCAGTCTACAGTCTAACATCCCCTATTTAAAGTATGGGTAAACTAAATAAAAGTTGCTAATGATATTAAAGCTATTTAAGTGGCAAATGTAATTTCACATACAGTACAGTATATAACCATCCATATCATTAATTTTTGCAATCAGATTATTTATGCTACCATTCAGAAGTTTGGGGTTTTATAATTAAGACAATGCTTTTATCTGGAAATTATAAATTAAATTGTTTAAAAGTGACTGTAAAGACATTTATAATGTTTCTATTTCAAATAAATGTTGGTCTTTTGAGCTTTTTATTCATCAAAGAACTTTTTTAACTTTGGACACTTAAACCAACTGAACTTGACACTTTTTCCAACTGAAAGTATTTAGAGAGTTAGGAATTAAATGTCTAGAAAGATATCCAAAAATCTGATAAATGTACAGTAAAGAAAAAACTGAAAATTGATGCATGTAAATATTACATTGACACAAATAGCGAGTGCTGTTTATGCAATTAAAAAGTGTCCTGATAAAAATAAATGTTGCACTGATGCAAACAGGAAGGGTTAGTTAGAAAAAACATGCCTAGATGTAGATATGTAGATATTAAGACAAGTGTTCATTAGAACCACACACTGACTTTAAGAAGAGTCCCTTTGTAGCTCTTAGAAGATTTCTTTTGAACAGAAAGTGGAAACTAGTTCTTCAGACCGCAGATAAACTTGACATTTGATATGCTGACACATACATACACACACATAGAATACGATAAGCTTAAAGCCACGGTCACACTATATTTTGAGCTTGCAAAGTTTCTTTTCAGCAACACAGCAATGGTCATGATATGACGTCACGCTCTGCAGCGTCTTTTTAAAAACTTAAATTTAACATCTAACAATATATATGATATGATATTATGATATGATATTATGATTATTAATCATAAATCCAAAATGTAAAAACATACAATCTGCTCCACTTTCTGGCAGTGTTGCAGTTTTAAATTTATGTTCTCTTACTTCAGCTAAGGTCATACAGTTTCACATGATACGTATTTGCAGGTCTAAGGTTCACCAAACTTGAAATTTGGGAAGCAGCGAAATGCGAAACAGCTTCACATGAGCTTGCGTTTTCATCCTTTTGCATTTGCATGCACATGGATGGAAGTCAATGGAAAGAAAAGTATAGTGTGACCGGCCCTTTAAGGCCCGCTCACACAAAGAATGATAATGATAAAGATAATGATAAAGATATAGTTCTAAAAATCATTGTCAATATTTAAGAATAGCAGAGTCCACACCACAGCTATAACGATAAAGGCACAGAGAAACAATATCCTTGGAATTAATTTCAGAATGATTTTTTCCCAGCTGATGAACGATAAAAACATTGACACCCAATCAGAATCTATCCCGCTGTAATGAGCTCGAGAATTTAAAGCAGCAGACGAGCATGCGGTTAGAATAAACAGACGATATTGTCCGCTGGTGTGGACTCTAATCCTTTATATTCTCTATATCTTTATAGTTATCTGTATATTTATCATTCTTGGTGTGAACAGGGCTTTATTCGTTATTGCCACTTAAACTTATATAATGGCGTAGAGTGAAATATTTCGCTTTTGCCTATGTAAGAAAAAATAAAATGAGAAAGAGGACTTCCCTCTGACTCGCATGATATTGCCCCAGTCTGTTCATTGGATAGGTTAAGTGTAAACGGCAGGTAAGATCATGAGACACTCAATTAAAAAGGATCTGGAAAGAGTCTCACAAGTAAGTTTTATGTTGACTATATTTATTTTTCATTTCAGTTCACCATTTGTGGATGATCTTTTGCAGTTTGATGTCTTTTTTTACCTGTCTGTGACAGTACCACAACATTTTATGTATGTTTTGTCTATTTTTTGTCTTTATCTCTTATTTAATTTCATTTTCACGCATTATCATCCATGACAACACTAAAACTAACCTCTGCTTCCACAACACACAATTAAACCCACCCACTTCTCTAACCACCCAATCAGAGACCATACCCCCTCCCCAGGCAGTCACATGCATAAGCCCCTCCTCCACAAGTCTATTGCTCAGCTGGGCTCCACCCCTGACAGATGAAAATGCAGGCATAACAGGATACTCCATCAGATATGTGGCAGTGGAACGGGAGAAAGACCCCGTACAGAGGATCTCGGACATCCCATCTAACTGTTTCCGATATCGGATTGAGGGGCTGAAGAAAGGGACCCTGTACTCTGTGACAGTTGCTGCCCACACTGACACAGGTCAAGGGCCTGAGAGCCTACCGATATTGATCCGCACAGAAGAAGACGGTATGTCTATATGACAGTGTTTAACTTTGACCCTTGACCTGAAGCTAAGTCTCCCTTTCCTTCATCTACCAAAGGCGCATTTGTCCTCTCTACATTTGCCTTGTCCTGAACCAAGTGGTTGCATTATTCCTGACTTCCCCCAAGCTCCTCTTTCTTGAAGGATTTTTCCATCTGTATCGATAATTGCATTTTTGTCACCCTGGTAAAAACATGGTCAGATCCCTATCCATGGCAAAAGCTTTTTCCTGACGAATTGCTGTACCTCTTTTCCTCACCTTTTCCATCCTTCTGCTGTGAGCTGGAAGGAATGTTCAGCTGTGACTACATGTCCTTTACTAAAATGCCCCTTTAGTGCCCAGCGCACCGCCGCGGAGTGTGGATGTGGTGGTCTTAAACACCACCTCTGCCAGAGTGTCATGGAAACCTCCAGTTGCTGAGCGACAGCATGGAAAGATTTGTGGTTACCAGGTGACATACGCCAGACGAACAACAGGGGAGAGAACAGTCTCTCCCAAAATTAGGGAACTCCTACTGAGAGACCCGCAGGTAGGAGACCACCTCACTGACACACACGCATATACACTTCTCAGTCAGTAATTGCTGCAACCCTTCTTTAGAAATAGGGTGTTTATTTTTGTTGAGTTGTTCTCACTTTGACGAACATAAAGAATAATTTAATCTCAAATATCATGGACTCTCAATATTCACTCTTTTGACACCAATATATGACCCATGCTGGCAAAATGAGTCAGAATGCGCACTAATGCGCGTCTAATTTTGAACGTTGTGAACGTTTTGGTCGAATTTGAGGTTTTCACAAAAATGAGTTCATTAAGTCCTCTTCTAGCTACCCCACTGCTTCAAATAGTAATTAAACGTCTAAAATGATCTTTATTTGTATGTTTTCTGAGAGGAGTACCTTTTTCTCTGCTCACTTCTGGATGACCGCTGCTGCTTCTCACCAAAAGTTGAAGGTCAATTTTTTGCAAAGCGAAGCATTCCTGCTTTTTGAATATTCTTATAGAATTTTCGATGACATGAGTCTACACCAGTGAAATATGATTTTTCAAATCCATGCTGATGAAAATAAAACGATCGCACTAAATGACATGTGCAAAGCACATCTATAAAGTACATTATTGTGAAATATTTTTTGGCAAAATTCACACAAACATAATCTGTTATGTCTTATATGAATGATTAGTTAATTTTTAGGGAAAAATCTGATGTGTAACATTATATTAGATCCATGCATTACAGTTGGCCTTAATATAGATCTGTCTCAAAGTTAATCAAACATTAAAAGAAAAGACGGAGTCACTCGCTGCTCTTGAATAAACTACTGTTTATTTGCATCTTTGCTCTTAATTTTAATAACAAAGATAAAATTAAAAATGGCTATATTGAGATTAACAGTATAGTAATTATCATTAAGAAAATAATTGGAGGAAAATATGCAATGTTGCTTGGTGATATTGCTTTGGAGTCTTCAGAAAACTTTAACTCAATTTTTCTCAAAATCAACTCTGCTGACTCTATCGCCTTCAAACGGCTGTAGCTTAGGCATTTTTTGTCCGATTCACAATGGAGAATGTGAACATAAAAATAACTAATTTTAGAAAAGTTGCTCATTTCGACTAATTTTGCCAGAACGGGTCACACACACACACACACATATTTTTGTATTTGTGTGAATGGCACTGTGCACCTTCTATATATGTTAGTATTTTCCTTCTCAGCTTGTGGAAAAGCTGCTTGTGATGAATGTTGGTTCATCGTGTGACTTTCTCATCACCACCTGTTTTTGGTGGCTATCAGTGTATAACAATTGTCTTGCTTTAATTTATAAACATTTGAAAAAAAATTTTATTCATATTTATTAACTCGTAATTAAATTTATAATTAAATTTACTGCTAGCTAATTGTTGTGTTAATAAGTGTAAGGTTTATCCAACCTATTATGTAGAAACTTGAAAAATGTCACTACCATCACACAAAATATCAAAAATCCACACGGTCACACATCAAAATGAACTTGATCAAGTACATGTGATAATGTGATGGTTGAAACAGTTTGAAGATGTTTTATTTTTCAAGGTTTCAAGTAGTGCTGCTAATCGAAGAATCACTCACATATATTAGAAATATGATGCAGATCCCAGCTATCACTTGATCTGAACGAGTTGTTTGTTTGTCAGTAATTAGACTTCTTAGCTCAGCTACTGCTTTCTAAATGGACTTTAATTTAGCCTAAATCATCAGATAACATCAGTATCTGCTTATTATCCGCATGCTGAGACAGAACCTCTGATAACTATCTCAAAAACTAAGAGCCTTAAAACCACCATGTAATTGTCCCAATGAACCTTTCACACTATTTATTCTTAATAGACCTTTATTAATTGTGTTGTTGCGAATAATCATATTACATCTTGGCATTCACATCAATTTGAACTATTTATGTCTTGTTTTTGTAAACAGCCACAGAACGACTCGAAACAATATGTGAGTATATCTACTTTGAACATGACCCAGAATTTGAATGCATATATTTACATGAATCAAAGTCTCTTTGAGGCAAATCAATTCACTTTGCGACTATCTTGGTTATGCCTTCAGGCAGCTTTATTTTATCTAGGCAGTAGGCATGAATAGAAATATACCTGAGTGGATAAAAAATGTAGTCTGTTTGTCAAGAGTCAAATCAAGTCAATGATATAAAAAAGTTGATTCTTTAGCTCAAATCATAGTTAAAAAAAAACATGCCAGTCCAGCTAATATGTTTGCACATACTGTACTAAAGTAAAACAGACAGTGTCTCAATCAAAATGTTATTGACTACTTTAACCAAAAAGCTAGACATACATTCGCCGCCATATTGAGAATTGTGATTTCTCCTATTAATTTTGCAACACTCAGTCTCTGATATTCATACAGATTATGTGGTGCAGTATTACAGAACATTTGATTTCTTAGATTTTTTTTTTCTTTTTGTTGAATTAGTGTTATGGTAAAATGTATATTTGTTTATTAGGACCTAATTTTGACTGATTTATGGCCGAACACTGAATACTCTGTGACTGTGGCTGCATTCAACTCAAAAGGCGATGGAGCACGTAGCAAACCTACAGTCATCAGAACTAAACCATCATGTGTGTACACACTCCAACATACATACATGCTAATGCATTGGTATATACACTTGTTTTTTTGTTTATCTCAATGTTAAAGAGAAAGGTCACCCAAAAATGAAAATATTTTACTTACCCTCATGTCATTCCAAACCTGCATGACTTCGTTTTATTATATAGAACACTAAAGGAGACAATTTAAAGGATTGCTCTTCTGCACTTTTCAAAAATGTGCCAAGGAAAGCAATGGTGGATGTCGAGTGAATATCACTGAATGAGTTCAGCTTTTCGAATGATAAGGTCTTTGATGTATAAACGAATCATTCAGGCCAATTTTGTGAGCCAGATCAAATGATTCACTGAAAAGATCTGACTCAAAATTATTTCAACTTTTTGAATAAGATGCGAGTTCAACTTTTGGATCATTAAACGAAACATTCAGACCGATATCGTGAACCAGATCAAATAATTCATTGACAAGATCTGAATAAAAAAGAATATTGTTAACAAATCGCACTACTTCTATTCACTTAAAAGCTATGGTGGATGTCAAGATTTTTAGTGAATATCACTTAATATCGAGTCTGTGACGTTTCGATCCAACCCATTTGTGACCGGATCAAACAATTCACTCAAAAGAGTGCTTCTCTTATTAACGCTATGGTGAATGTCAAGATTTCCAGTGAATTAATTCATCTGGGGATTTCAGTGAGTCATTTTTAAAGGTTGAAATCTTTAGTCCCTGTTCATTGTAATTCAATGGAAAAGAACATTGAAACGTTGTTCTTTTGTGTATTGCACAAGAACGTCTTTTCATTTTCCTTTTTGGGTGAACTAATCATTGAAGTGTATCACTTAACCCTACACATATCTTATCTGCAGTGCTACATATGTAGTGTTGATCTACAGTATTATTTTCTACTCCACAGTGCCAGGTATGCCCCTGCTTACAGTTGCGCCATCTGAAGATGGCACTGCCCTGCTGAAATGGCAGCCTCCTCCTGCTGGTCTGTCCCCTGTGCTGGGCTACAGGCTCTCATATGGCCAGGCTGACCTGACCTCAGACTCCTTCATGGTGCAAGAGCTAAACGCCGAGGAGCGCACCTACACCGTCCCATCTTTGAGCGCAGGGGTGCTGTACATGTTCCGTCTGGCCGTCCGTACCATCTGGGGTTACGGTTCAAGCGCTCAGGTCACACTTTTAACACCATACATGGTGCAGACAACCACAGACGACATGGTAACAGCCCCAGGGACAACAGATGCTTTAAATGTGAGCGTACAGGAAAAGGTTCCGCTTTTGGCTAACTTAACTGCCGAAGACATCAACTCCTCTTCTGTGATCCTGAGATGGGAGCGACCAAAAAACTATGACCGGATCCAAGGTTACCGTGTGTGGTTCGCTGTCACCTATAGTAATGGCACAGACATTGCCATGGAATCAGACGTTTCGGAGGCCACAGTGGTTCTTAATGGCCTACGGCCAAATACTGAGTATGTGGCGAGAGTGTGCATGCTTAGCAAACACGGCCCTGGGCCCTATAGTCTCCCTATATCCATCAAAACACTACCAGCACAGGAAGGTAGGACTCATGTGTATCCTTCTCACACACAAACATTTACTGTCAGGCAAGCCTTCCTAATCAAAACCACTACATTTTCATTACTCTAGAAGGATATTTTCTGTTTATGTCTGGTCATTTTTTGTCTGTCTTTGTTGGTCTGAGTCTCTTGTTCGGTGGCATCCATTAAGTGCAGATAAAAGGTGAGAATCTTTCTGTAAATGGATCTAGGTTAATGTGGAGTGCTCCATTATCTCATAAGACAACTATGGTAAAGGTGAGCCTTTAGAAAAGAGTGATGAATTCTTGGCAGCACTATGAGAAAAAGTAACTTACTAGCTCTTTTTTCTCCTGGCGGCTCTGTCTGTGCACCCTTTACGGATAACAGCCTGATGTGGTAAATGTTTTTAGTAGAAACAGTTGAAAGGATTCTTTGATGTTCTTCATAAATGCTTTAGCAATGCTGGAGGCCAGAGGTTCTGCTCAGGTGAGCTGAAGTATTGATGTGTGATGTGTTGATCTCTTGTTTTGTTTTGCTTTAATAGTGTTTGCTGTGAACTTCAGAGTGAAAGCTGCTATGAAGAGTTCAGTGCTGCTGACCTGGGAGTCACGGACCACCAGTAATAAAGCACATTCTCTTATTGTAAGTACTGCGAAATACAGTATTTTGCTGCGTGTGTGTGAGAGCATGAGTCTGGTTTTGTTGAAAAAAATTAATGTGTTTAAAGGTTAGGGATGTGGTTCTCAAACTTTTTGACTCCAAAAGCCACCATGACATCTTGCGTGTGTGTGAGAGCATGAGTCTGGTTTTGTTGAAACAAAAAATAATGTGTTTAAAGGTTAGGGATGTGGTTCTCAAACTTTTTGACTCCAAAAGCCACCATGACATCAAAACCTGGACGACTAATGGGTTTATAAGTATGGGTTTATGTAATAGGAGTTTTTCAATTGTCTGTGGTAAATATAAATTGACAATACTTTGCTCTACTTCATAAATTATACACACAAATACTGAAAATGTTTTGAAGTTATCTTTATTTTAAAAAAATGTACTGTAAAGCACGTTAAAGACAAGCTGCTTGTTTTCAGATGTTTTTATTTACACAAACTAGGAGTGGCAATATATTAGCATAAAATAATTAATTAAAATAACTTCAGTAATTCTAGATGTTTCAAGAACCGAATGTTTTTCAGGGTTCACACTTTTAGAAACTATAGAAATTTACATTACTTTTCAAGATTAAAAAAAAAAAACTCAATTACTCAAAAATTGCAGTTTCTCAGTTGTTTCTACTTGATAAAATATTTTAGAACTTAATGTAACTAGAAAAAATTAGATTTAGTTTACAAGTGGAAAGCTTCATGGCATCTATTTGTACATAGTTCATTGGAACCATCATATGTTTCTGATGTGAACCTAAATCTGAATAAAAAATTTGATCACCAAAGAAAAATAGATTTAGTGTATTTTCATGACTTTTCCAGGTCTATAAATCACACTTCTAAAATTCCCTCATATATTTTCCATGACCGTGGGATCCCTCGTCTAAAATTGTTGAGAGAATCAATTAAAATAAGAAATCTGATGTTTTTTGCGTTTTTTATTTTTTATTTTAAAGCATGTTTTGTCTTTTTTAAATATGGACCCCTGGTTGAGAATCACTGGCTTAGATGACAGAAGATATCATTAACTCAGTATAAAAACAAACATGTAGGTGTGAGTGTGTGTTGTTCCTCCATCGCCACCCTTCGTGCAACATATTGAGATGGAATTGTGTATGACAGTGTTTGTATAAATGTGTGTGCGCGCATTTAGCAAGTGTCTGAGGTGTCAGTCTTAATCTCTTTCTGCCCTCCTCGAATGTGTGTGTGCCACAAGATGTGCATAGTCTTGGCTGGTTAAGTGTGCAGTTTACGTTTGTTTGCTTTTCTATTTTCTGCTTCTCTCTCAGATCTCATATGGTGATGGTGAGAGTGTGGAGGTGGATGGGCGGCTCGGGCAGAAGTTGGTGACTAAGCTGAAGCCCCAGTCTCTCTACACCTTCATGTTAACTAGTAAAGCTGATGGCACTGGGGGCCTGCAGCACCGTGCAGATGCCATGACGGCTCCAAACCTGCTGACTAGGAAACCCCAGGTGCTGGACAAGACCAGCTCTCAGAGCATCGCTACCATGCAGCTGCCCACTGTCCAGGGACAGGCTAATGTCAGGTCAGGAATACACCAATGAAAATAGAGGGTGGGATTTACTTTGAGCTGTTTATGTTCAGGTCTAATTTAGATTTCCAGATTTCCATTGTGATCTCGGAATTCTAAACAAAAAAATTCACAGAGGCTGCATTTATTTGATCAAAATTTCAGTAAAAATAATATTGTGAAAGATTACCCTAATAAAAAAGTAATATATTTAAAATACATTCATTTCATACTAAGTATGGTTCAAATCTATTAACATTTTTACTGACATATCGCTCAAGACTTACTGATATAAAAATTATGATAAAACTATTTGGAGTACTACTTGTGCACAATGCACTTTTTTTATATTAAGCATAAAATGTGTATTAATGTCACTATTGATGAAGATTGTATGATCTTTGAATAATAAGTCTTTAAATGCATAATAAGTCTTTAAATGCAAGATATTTTAAAGAGTACCTAAAGTATACTTGCAATAGTTCCACTTTAGCACAATCAAATATACTTCAGTATATCTTTAGTTGGACTTCAGCACTACTTCCGCACAATTAAAATGCATTAAGTACAAAATTAGTTGTTCCAATTTAGCAGACTTCAAGTATACCAGTTTAGTATACTAAGTACAATTGCAGGGTATTTTTATTAAGTACATAAATATGTAAATGTATTTGTAGTATACTTAGCATGAAACAAATGTATTTCAACTACATTTTAGTATATTTATTTTTCAATAGGGTAATACAATTTAAAATAACTGTTTCCTGTTTTAATATTATTATAATAATATATATTTTATGTAATTTATTCCTGTGATGGCAAAAAAAAATCTGAATTTTCAGCATTCAGTTTTACAGTGCAAACATTTTTCTTTGTTTTTTTTTTTGGAGCAAAAAGCAAACCCAGACTTTTCCAAATAGTCCCAGATAATAATTAATATCATATTTTTATTGGAAGGGGTTTCTACATTGTGGTTGTCCCCCTGAAGAGGCAGAGAGGAGGAAACTTCCAGAATTTATGGAGTGATCCAGATGAGATAAACATTGATGAGGTAATAAAATGTTTGTAATTGAGTTGCAGATGTTGTAATTTTGTAAAATTTTCATCAAGTTGTTCACTGTCGTTGTTGAAAAAGCTGTTCAAAGTTTAAAGCACATGTTGGTTCAACACAGGGGAGTTGCAGGGTCTGTTGTGATTAACTTAGTGTCATGCGCTTGTCTGTTTTCTGGTTTCTCTAGCTGCTGAGGGAGATTAATGGCACCGGTCGCTCTGTGCGTCTACGGAGGCAGGCGGAGGCAAAATCATACATCAGCGCTCATTTCCAGAATCTTCCAGCTGAATTCAAACTAGGAGACGGACGTGTGTATGGAGCATTCCTAAACCGGCTGCTTGTAAACGGACAGGAGTATGTGTGCTTCGTGCTGGCTATTCTTGAACTGGGCCAGAATGTAAGTCCTTCTTTTCTCTCTCATGTTAGAGTATCTTGGGGTCCATTATGAAAATGTAGTGATTAGATATACTGTGTTAAATAATCATTGTGTGAGCGAATCATTTCTGAGAAAAACATAGCTTCGTTTGAAACATTTAGTAAAGGAGATTATGATGTACTGCTTATTTTTACAGCAGGAATTGTGACATTCAACAGAAAATGTGGGGGCAAAACTTAAAATGCATAAAGCATTTTTGAAAAAACTACAGTAAGAACGATATTTTTGATTTTTGATTGACAGACCGTGTACTCCACGAGTCCATTCTCTGATGCCGTGCTGTTCTCCGATGTTGAGCCACAGCCAATCGTTGACGAGGAGGAGGGGCTTCTATGGGTGGTGGGGCCAGTGCTGGCGGTCATTTTCATTATCAGCATTGTCATCCTCATCCTCCTCTTTAAAAGGTGAGAGAGAAAGAGAATTAAGCAGAAAATGATGGAGAATTTGATTATTTGAATGTAGATTAAATTACATCAAAGGGATGAAGAAATTAAGTGACACATTCATGAAAAACCAGGGAATTGAAACATTTAAAATGGAAAAATAAATTTTTCTAATTTTCTAACTTGTTGTATATTCTAGATATTGCTTGTGTAGAGTTAAACTTAAAACCATGGAGTTTTTTTGTGAATGAATCATTCATTAGAGTCAGTCCTTTTGAATGAATCTCTTGAACGATTCACAAATTAGCCTAAATTGTTGTCGTTTGAATGAAAATCTAAAAGAATGAGAGGGAAATAAAAATGATAGATGCTTTATATTTTACTTCTGCAGAAGCTGATTTTATTTATCCCTAATTCTTTTTTTCTTCCCTCGCTTTATCTGTGCACAAACCAGCAAACCAGACAGGTCTGTGTATTGTGTTTCTCTCTAAATCTAATTACGACCGAAATGCAATATAAACTATTTCCTACTAAGTGAGTGTTGCTTTAATGCTCCTGCATGTGTGATGTTACAGGAAGCGGGCAGAGCTGGAGGGCAGGAAGTGCAGCTTTCCCAGCAGCAGTAAAGCCATGAGTTCCCAGCATCCATCTGACCCAGTGGAACTGCGTAGAATCAACTTCCCAACGGCTGGTAATATACTGATGAAAAGACATGTCACAAACACACTCACATACAGGCACAGAGTGCTCAAGAATCAACTTTCAGTGCCCCTTTGATGCACACACACTGTCGGTATCAACACAGTGTTGTCTCTTTTCTAGGTTTGCGTGCATCTATCATCGGTTATCGACGGTTATCAAGTTAGTTGTGGCTTTTGAAGTCTATATTGACTGTTTAACCCCATTCATATTTATGCAGTAACCGGTTTGGCGTTTTCATCCTCTTAACTCATTTGGCTCATAGCAGTGTTGTATGTGAACACCTGCTGCAGCGTGTGAAGCTTTTCTCTCTCTGCTCTGATTGACGTCACAACCAGCTCACACACACCAGCAAACACTCATACATACACACTTTCAATCATGTTGAACTTTCCATTGTCTTCCCTGTTTTATATTTAGCTAATAATATTTTCTAATCTCCTAACCTCTAAACCCTCACACAAACTTTCTGCATTTTTAGATTTTCATTAAGACATTGTTTAGTGTTTAAGATGTTTCCTTGCCCTCCTTGTGGGGAGATTTAGTCCCCACGATAATGGCAAAAACTGATCTACACACAGACACACACAATTACAGCTAGCTCTCTAAATGGGGACACACCGGAGATGTTTTTACATAAAACACAATATATTACAGATTATAGTAATTCAGTGTTGAATCAATGTTTATCTTGAATTTGTTGAACAGGCAACTATTGCAGACATGAAATAAACTCTTCTCAGTGATATTCTAAATGCAGCAATATTGATTTCTGCTTTTAAGTTTAATTTGATCTGATTCAGCTGTTTCATTGTTTATTTCATCTTGCTTAATACTTCTGACTGTCTTGTAATCTATACCCTCTCCTGTGCACATTCAGTATAGTTCAGATTTTATTTATAGAAATTTTAGAGTGGGATATGAATATCTGTCTGGGTGGAGACCAGTCCCCTCCCACAATCAAAGATAAGTTATATATCATGAAATAATTTAAAAGTTTTCTGTGAGGCTGTTTACTTAGATATAAAATTTGTGTATGTAGGTAAAAAATTACATTCCCTGCATTTTCAATAACCTACAGACTACAATATAAATTCTAAACAATTATTTTTAAATAATTTGATACTTTTTTTTTTAGTTAATAGATGCCTAGTGTATCGTAGAGTGTAAACATGACAATCTTACATTTTGTGAGCTTTTAATTATTGATCAGTTATTTTTGTATATGGATATTAAATGTATAAAACATTAAATAAATAAGTTATATATCATGAAATAATTTAAAAGTTTTCTGTGAGGCTGTTTACTTAGATATAAAATTTGTGTATGTAGGTAAAAAATTACATTCCCTGCATTTTCAATAACCTACAGACTACAATATAAATTCTAAACAATTATTTTTTAATAATTTGATACTTTTTTTTTAGTTAATAGATGCCTAGTGTATCGTAGAGTGTAAACATGACAATCTTACATTTTGTGAGCTTTTAATTATTGATCAGTTATTTTTGTATATGGATATTAAATGTATAAAACATTAAATATATAGTATCCAACTAAAAGTACAACCATTCACAAGTGGCCATTCTATTTAGATTGGTCTAAACCTTCAGTATTATTACATTAAGAAAATTATTAAAGGAGAGTAAATTTTTGTATTTGCCTGTTGTGAATCAATGGTTTTGCTATCTGGGTACAAACAACTACAATACAAACTAACCCCCCCAATAATATTTTAAGAATAAAATAGCATTATGTCTTTTTCTGAGAACTTTTCACTTTTGAAAACACCCTAAAATGAGGTTACGTTAGATTTAACCTACTGTATAAGTAAAAGTCTGTAACTTACTGTAAAAGTCTACTGTATCATTTTTGATACATACATTTCTAAGGCCTCTAAATTATCAACGAGTTTAAAATAATCAAAACTGAAAAACTTCTCCTTTCAGGTCATGGTATATGTTTCTATTTGCTGTGAAATCTTTACTGATTTTTATTAAGTAAACGTGAGAATAACTTGGTAAAGTATCAAGATGAACACTTACTGGACTAAAGCAACTTAAAAAAAAAAAAATCATGCTAAGACGTGAGTGTCAAATATTTTATGTTCCATTATATGTCCACAACTATAACCCCCAAAAATATAGAGCTTTGATCATAAAATTAAGAATTTAAATGAGACTGTCAAACCGATTAATTGCATCAAAAATAAAAGTTTGTGTTTACTTAATATATATGTGTGTGTGTTTGTGTACTGTGTATATTTTTATGTATATAAATATATTTAAGAAAAATGTACATGTGTGCATATATATATATATATATATATATATATATTCATATTTATATATGATTTATATTATACATAAATATAAAAATATATTACATATATTTCTTAGATAAAATAAAATACACATGAATGTGTGTATTTATATATGATATAAATATGCACAGTACACACACACACACACATATTATGTAAACACAAACTTTTCTTTTGAATACAATTAATCGTGATTAATCATTTTGCCAGCACTAATTTAAATATCACTTTAATAAGACATTATTGTGAAATATAGAGTGACAACTGGTATTTACTGTATATGTATTTTAAATAGGTAGTCTGCTATATTGTCATAAAGATCTCATTGATTTACATTACATGCAGACATTCATATTATTTTCTGGCCATACAAATATCAGCAATTGCACCAGATATGCTCAGTTTGGGCCTCTGAATAAAATTTAGGTGTTTTTTCCCTCCTCAGTATGAGCTCCAAATTCTCTTTATTTCATACTCTATAACAGTGGTTCCCAACCCTGGTCCTGGAGGCACCCCAACACTGCACGTTTTGCATGTCTCCTTAAGCCATAAAAGCCTGGTAGGCAAAAACACATTAATTCATTGTCTAAAGTTCCAATAAACTGTTCCATTCAACAACAAAAAAATGCATATATCAGGCTTTACAAGGTTAACTTCTGGTGATATTCTTTTAGCAGTTTTCTCCTCAAAACACATAAACTCATGAACCCTAGTGCTAAAACATAGATGAGATCTCTAACATTCTCTCACACTGCTCAGGGCGCTCAGTCCAGCAGCGTACCGTGTTCTCAGGGTCCGAACTGATGTGATTGTGTGATGTGATTGACAGGCATGACCAGCCACCCTCCAGTGTCCATCTCAGAACTGCCAGCTCACATAGAGAGGATGAAAGCCAATGACAACCTGAGGTTCTCTCAAGAGTATGAGGTCAGATCTCTCACATAAACGCACTTACATTCACACCCCACGGGTGTACATTAAAAACATATTGGCCAGTGAATGATGTATATTGGCACCACATTTTCAGCATACTATAACATGCTTTGAGTTCTTTTTTATGTACTTTTGTTGTGAGAGCACTAATTTCAATGCATAGGCCATGTGATGTTTATAACATGTGAAGTGCAGTATGGGGCTTGTCCAGTGTGATGTGTAATTCATGGCGTGCATCTCTCTTGTAGTCTATTGATCCAGGGCAGCAGTTCTCATGGGAACATTCTAACCTTGAGATTAACAAGCCAAAAAACAGATATGCCAACGTCATCGCCTACGACCATACCAGAGTAGCACTTTCCAACAATGATGGTGAGATTGCGTGTGCTCAGTATGTCAATATTGCTTTTTCTATGTCTGTATTCATGAGAAATAACACATTTTTAATCTTAAAGGGGTATCGTCATGGGAAATCAACTAAGAGAACGTTGTTACCCATTCACATTTATTGCATCTTGCACCATTGCTGCTGGTTATCTCTAAATGTACACATAACTGTACCAGTGTTATTATTGTAAACTAAAACTTACGTTTTTTGGTACATAAAATAAAGCTGAAATAAAATACACATTTTAGATAAACTTAAAAAACTTGGATGCTGCCAACATAATTATCTTGAAAACAAACTGAAATAAGTTAGTAGTAAAATTACTCAAACTAAAACATAAATATTAAAAAGAACTATTTAAAAAAATAAAAAGCGCATAGCAAAATTACTCAAATATTATACAATATGATGACTAAAAACAAAAATAAACACTTAAAAAAGCTAAAATTCTAAAGCTAAAATGTGAATAAGTGCTATAATAGTATAGAAATAATACTAAAATAACACTGACAGGATCACTTCTGATAAATTTGCAGAAGTTAAGAGCTTTGTCCAGCTAATATCCCTTATATTGTTTATTTTTGAGCTGTTTGATTTGTTCAGTTTCTTCCCTTTTTTATTGTATTATTTTTTGGCATTTTTGCTTTATTGCGATAGGACAGTATAGATAGACAGGAAGCAAATTGGTGGACAGAGAGGGATGGCATCAAGATGGGACTCAAACTCGGGTTGCCCGAAGTGCAGCTGTACTAAATTTCGGCTCTGATGCTGCTTCGTCATTTTGAAATATTAGATCCGACACACTACTAATGGAACTGAATTCAATCTTTTATTTACTCCCAAATTTATTTATGAAGAGCATTTAGTTTTTTTCTCTTGTCAGTTTGAAAGTGATGAAGTGTTTGTCATTCCCTCTTGTTATGCAGGTGTTCCTGGTGGTGACTACATCAATGCCAACTTCATAGACGGGTACCGCCGACAGGGCGCATACGTCGCCACCCAGGGCCCCATGCCAGACACGTTTAGTGACTTCTGGAGAATGGTGTGGGAACAACACACAGCAAATATCATCATGATCACCAAACTTGAGGAGAAATCCAGGGTGAGAGCACTAAATCATACAAATACAGACCACACTCAAGTCATGTGCAGTCATACATTTCCAGACAGAAACACATTTCCAAAATCTAGTAAGCATCCTTGCTTTCTACTATAGGCAGCGACATGATTGGTCACTTATGTACAATGCATGCACGCTCTTGGTCATACTAATTGACAGTTATTACCTTCACCAAGAATGGAAACAATAGGAAAGCAAAGTCAAAACCCAAACATTTTAGGCAATTTTGAAATACTGGCAAGGACATGTCCAAGAAAAAGAGTATGTATGGTCACCCTAGTCGTCTACCAGTGTGAGTAAAGTCAGTGGAGCTCACATGATCTGTCTTCTGTGAAGAACAATAGTGGAGTGTAGACATGAAAGAGACGTTAATGTTACTGATTGATTTCACTGTTCCTGACCCCACGCAGGATATAATAAATTCAAAACCATGTCAGAAATTGTTGGCATTCTGAGCATTTTTGATTTGTACTTTTCTAATTGTTCGTCTATAAATTGTCTATACAATTATTATATGCACTACTGCAATGGAACTACAAATGTTTTGCAAGAACAGCGTGAACAATTGATTCCTTGTCAAAATCTTATTTTTGTCTGCAATATATCTTTTTTTTTTTTTATCAGATTTTAAAAAGCTATGGGCATTTATGCAGCCCACCAAAAATGTTAGATGAACTAAAATTTGTTACATTAAAATTTCAAACAGTGTTTGCATCAGGATGCTTAAAATGCTGTTTAGGTAGGCAACTGACTGGATTTTGATACAGAACTACTGAGACACTACAACACTTAATCAAACTCATAAACACACACACACACACACACACACACACATACTAACCATACTAACTTTTTGATCAAACACAGTGATATTTTCTATAATTCTCAGTGAGTCTGTTGTGTGGTGTTACGGAACAGAGTAAGTCTTATGCTGTTTGTCTATTACTCTCCAGATGCCTTCGTATTTCTTCTCAAAGGCAAGACGTCTCACTTGGCTAATTAGACTACTGTCACTTTTCACTTGACTGGTTGATATTCCGTGTCTCACCTCTTTCCTCCTTGTTAACTCTGCCTCATCCCTTTTTTAACACCCACTCTCTCTTTTTCTGATCTGTCTCTTCTCACTTCCTCTTTCCCTCACTGACTTCTGAGACACATTTCGCCAAAGTGTAACTTGAATTTTTGGCTGGTTATCACACTCTCACTGCATGCTGAAATGTACTCTCAAAGGGTGTGTCTCAGTCTATTCCCTAGTATAGAAATAATACTAAAATAACACTGACAGGATCACTTCTGATAAATTTGCAGAAGTTAAGAGCTTTGTCCAGCTAATATCCCTTATATTGTTTATTTTTGAGCTGTTTGATTTGTTCAGTTTCTTCCCTTTTTTATTGTATTATTTTTTGGCATTTTTGCTTTATTGCGATAGGACAGTATAGATAGACAGGAAGCAAATTGGTGGACAGAGAGGGATGGCATCAAGATGGGACTCAAACTCGGGTTGCCCGAAGTGCAGCTGTACTAAATTTCGGCTCTGATGCTGCTTCGTCATTTTGAAATATTAGATCCGACACACTACTAATGGAACTGAATTCAATCTTTTATTTACTCCCAAATTTATTTATGAAGAGCATTTAGTTTTTTTCTCTTGTCAGTTTGAAAGTGATGAAGTGTTTGTCATTCCCTCTTGTTATGCAGGTGTTCCTGGTGGTGACTACATCAATGCCAACTTCATAGACGGGTACCGCCGACAGGGCGCATACGTCGCCACCCAGGGCCCCATGCCAGACACGTTTAGTGACTTCTGGAGAATGGTGTGGGAACAACACACAGCAAATATCATCATGATCACCAAACTTGAGGAGAAATCCAGGGTGAGAGCACTAAATCATACAAATACAGACCACACTCAAGTCATGTGCAGTCATACATTTCCAGACAGAAACACATTTCCAAAATCTAGTAAGCATCCTTGCTTTCTACTATAGGCAGCGACATGATTGGTCACTTATGTACAATGCATGCACGCTCTTGGTCATACTAATTGACAGTTATTACCTTCACCAAGAATGGAAACAATAGGAAAGCAAAGTCAAAACCCAAACATTTTAGGCAATTTTGAAATACTGGCAAGGACATGTCCAAGAAAAAGAGTATGTATGGTCACCCTAGTCGTCTACCAGTGTGAGTAAAGTCAGTGGAGCTCACATGATCTGTCTTCTGTGAAGAACAATAGTGGAGTGTAGACATGAAAGAGACGTTAATGTTACTGATTGATTTCACTGTTCCTGACCCCACGCAGGATATAATAAATTCAAAACCATGTCAGAAATTGTTGGCATTCTGAGCATTTTTGATTTGTACTTTTCTAATTGTTCGTCTATAAATTGTCTATACAATTATTATATGCACTACTGCAATGGAACTACAAATGTTTTGCAAGAACAGCGTGAACAATTGATTCCTTGTCAAAATCTTATTTTTGTCTGCAATATATCTTTTTTTTTTTTTATCAGATTTTAAAAAGCTATGGGCATTTATGCAGCCCACCAAAAATGTTAGATGAACTAAAATTTGTTACATTAAAATTTCAAACAGTGTTTGCATCAGGATGCTTAAAATGCTGTTTAGGTAGGCAACTGACTGGATTTTGATACAGAACTACTGAGACACTACAACACTTAATCAAACTCATAAACACACACACACACACACACACACACACATACTAACCATACTAACTTTTTGATCAAACACAGTGATATTTTCTATAATTCTCAGTGAGTCTGTTGTGTGGTGTTACGGAACAGAGTAAGTCTTATGCTGTTTGTCTATTACTCTCCAGATGCCTTCGTATTTCTTCTCAAAGGCAAGACGTCTCACTTGGCTAATTAGACTACTGTCACTTTTCACTTGACTGGTTGATATTCCGTGTCTCACCTCTTTCCTCCTTGTTAACTCTGCCTCATCCCTTTTTTAACACCCACTCTCTCTTTTTCTGATCTGTCTCTTCTCACTTCCTCTTTCCCTCACTGACTTCTGAGACACATTTCGCCAAAGTGTAACTTGAATTTTTGGCTGGTTATCACACTCTCACTGCATGCTGAAATGTACTCTCAAAGGGTGTGTCTCAGTCTATTCCCTAGTTCTCTTTGGTGGGAATTAGTAAAAATATGTTAAAAGGCATTCTGCTGATATCTAGGGAGTGAACTGTTCAGTGCACTGGAATGATTTTGGCAATAATAAATTCCTCCAAGCGCATCAAAAAAGTCATGTGACTGCGCTATGGGATAGCAAAACCTGACTAACCAGTAGACCGATCTCATTCCACAGCATCTGAAATGTTGTTATGGTCATTCGGAAATGCACGAGCAGTCTGTCATCAAAGTATTTCTGTATAATTGCCTCCCAGAAATGTCTTACATGACTGCATTCCCAAACAGCAGCATCCACCTCCGAAAGCAATGACCGCATTCATTGTGTTTCGTCTGCTCGCTCTGAGGCTCAAGTAATTTATTATTATATATGAAAATTTTTATATTCTCCTACTTTTCTTAGTGATTTATAGTGGCAGTTTATCAGGAAGTGACGGTTTTGTTCTCTTTGACTTGTTGGATGGAAACAATGCTTGTTCGCAAATGTTTTATGCGATATTCCAGTTTTGCACATAAATTAAATTTGCAACTTTGGATGGAAACCCGGCTAATGAGGCAGCCCACTCCCTTGGTAGTGTAATTACTAGTGGACTAGGGAGCGGACTGACACATAACCATGTGAGTACTGTTGTTGATGGAAAGCAGCCAAGCTGAAGAGCAGCTGACTGTCAGCGTTGATCTCAGCTGGTTCTTCAGCTCTCCTCTAATGTCTCCTTTGACATTGAGACATATGCAGCGGTGAGAGGTTTACTAAGTGTCTGCTGAACTGTGTGCAGAATAAATGCGATCAGTACTGGCCCAGCAGAGGCACAGAGACGTACGGATTGATGCAAGTCAATTTACTGGACACGGTGGAGCTTGCGACATACTGCGTCAGGACTTTTGCTCTTTTTAAGGTAATGAAGCAGCAGTGATCAACACATTTTACACTCCCAAAGGTAACCTAATGGCAGGGTCGATCCGTAGGTTTTTTAGAACCTTGACAATTTCATGAAATAGGCCTCACTGGTGTGAACATTGTCATAACATAAAACACAACATTTTTAACATTTATGAGAAAGTGAATGAGAAAATTTGGTACTATAACTTTTTTTCCCATAAATTATTCAGTTTTTTTTAATTCAGTAAATTAGTCCTGCTGTGTGACATTATTAAAAGTACATTCTATTAACTATAAGTAACATTGGAATTACATGTTCACTAACTCTTATTAAAATGTTAGTATACTTAAGACTAGAAGGTTAAGGATAAGTTTATGGTTAGTAGAATAAGTTGACATGTACTTGCAAAATTACTTATATATAAATGTATAAATTATTTAAAGGGGTCATAGGATGCTACATGCGCTTTTACAAGTTGTTTGAACTGAAATGTTTGTTGGCAGTGTGTACACAACCACCCTATAATGATAAAAATCCACCCAGTGTTTTGTTTTTTTATCTGGTTAAATGTTTTCCCCTTTCTCAAATCGAGCCGATCTCAGATGCCTGTCTGTGTGACGTCACATAGACAGGCCCCTCCCACGATAGTTTGATTGACAGTAGCGTTTCAGCACAGACTGGACTGGTGTCTTACCTCAGACACGCTCTGAGTGAGCTATCATCAGTCCGCCATTGTTTCACCGCTGGAGCAGATGTAGACAAGAATGACTCCTTACAAGCAATTGAGGTGTTCTGTTGTTGGATGTAATAATGAACATAGCAGTCGTCATTTACTTCCGACATCTGAGCCGCTGAAGACGCAGTGGATTACATTTGTTTCTGAAGGGAATGCTCCCACGATCTGCCTAAATGCGTCTATGTTCGCGCGAATCATTCATAATCCAGCCTCATCTACAGAAGAAGTGAGTATAATGTTTTGTAATGAATCTTTGCAAATCGCCTTTCCTAATAATGTGCTTATTTAGCAAGTTTCAAGATGAAGGTGGCTGAAGTAAACAGTCTCTCTGAGAGCAGCTCGGAAGAGAGGGGCGGGGTTAGCAGAGCTCATTAACATTTAAAGGGAAATGCTACAAAAACTACTTGATCTGAAAAGAGCTGTTTTTGACAGGGGAAAAACCATTTTTACACTACCATTGAGACATTTTAACCAAACTATGTTACAGACTTTTCATTAAGACCCTAAAGAATCATATCAACTTGTGGAAAATGGGCATCCTATGACCCCTTTAAATACAACATATACAGTATAGAATCACAGCATATATTGAAAATAAACAAATATAATAACTATATACACATACCTCTTAAAGAGCAGATATTTGCAGAAAGTTTTGCAGATGAAATGTTCACTGACATCTTCATCTCCTCGGCAATGTCTGAGTTTCTTGAGAAAATCATGCAAAAGAGTTTTTAAAAATTATGCAATTGAAATTTTGATTATTTATTTATGGTGTTGTTGCTGTAGTTGTCAACTGTTTAAATTATTTGTCATGTTTTTTTGTTTGTCACTGTTATTGTGCTTTGTGTGCTAAATATTGATTACACATTTGATGGGAAATATATTGAATAAAATAACATTGGTGCTTGAATGAGAAGCATTCTCTGACATCTATTCTAGTCTAGTGTAGTCTATTTTAGTATATGGTACTGTACTGTGCTGAATTGTGTTGTTTCTATGTGCAGAGTGGGAGTGGCGAGAAAAGGGAGGTGCGTCAGTTCCAGTTTACAGCATGGCCAGATCAGGGGGTACCTGAACAACCCACTCCCTTCCTGGCCTTCCTCAGACGGGTCAAAGCCTGCAATCCCCCAGACGCTGGACCTATTGTGGTCCACTGCAGGTAACTCGTACAGAATAGAGCAAACACATTTATATCCAGTCAGACATGACAGGGAAATATTCTGAGAAACTTGTTAAGTTTCTTTCGGTACCAATGAAATGTGTTCTTACTCTGTAGAGAGTATCGAATCATTGGCCTAAATTGTGTTGATTATATAAAATTTTTGTTATATCACACAGAATTGAGTTGCAGCTTTTTGCGGAGTGTCTGAGTGTTTTTGTGTGTGTTTTGTTTTGCTTAGACACAACAAAGCAACATTACTACAGTATATACATGCAAGGTTTTTACAAATTAACTGACACAGGGAAAATAAATGACATAAAACCACTGCTTAACTTCCTCGCAAACACTTGCTTGCAACATAACTATAAATTTGAAGAATGTTCTCTTTTTCAAATTGTAGTTGATTTTTTACAGGGTCAGTATAGGTCATTTATGAGTTCTTTTTTTTCTATTAAATAAGTCAAATAATGTTTTTACTATTTCATCTTTTTCATTAACATTTTAACCATTTATAAACAAAACCAAACAAAAGCCCAGCATTTATAACAGTAGAGGTAAAATACATGCAGAAAAGAAGAAAGAAAGAGGAGAAAAATAATAATAATAATCAAATAATGATATTAAAGTGCCCCTATTATTATGGGTAATGAAAGGTTCATATTTTGGTTTTGGGAGTCCCCAACAACAGGTTGGCATGCATGCAAGGTCAAAAAACACTTTCATTGTCTTATAATATGCATTTATTTTTTACCTTATTTGCTCAACGACTCTCAAACGATTCGTTTAACGTTTCATTTTTCCAAACCCCTATTTTGCGTGACGCTAATCTGCATTGATTGGTCTCATTTTCATTTCATCTTGCCTGTAATGCCTGATAAAGCAGCGTTTGTGAGCGCAGTGCTGCTTTGTGTACAGCGTTACCGGGGAAACCGCTATTTTTACGGCACCTAGTGGTAAAGAATGAATTTGCAATTTCATTCAACCAATGCTAAAAGACCAACAAGTGGGCAGGCAATATGCTAATGTTTCATGTTGACGTCAACATGAAACGGCTTGGGATTCGTTTTAAAAACTATTCATTTCAATGATTCAGAGTCGACTCTTTCTTTTGAGAGACAATAACTTTATACATGGTGCACTTTCAGATTTAAAACTTTGCAGGATGTTTTCATTTACTTAGAGCTGTGTTACACACTGCATGAAAGGTCATTTTCAAAAATCCATAATAGGGGCACTTTAAAATATAACATAATTAATAATTAAATTAAATAAAAATGTATATAATTTCAATATATATATTTGTCTATATCTGTCTAATGATTTTATTCTATGAAACTGTTCAGTGAGAGAAAATCGCTAAATCATTTTCACACATCAGTAATTTTTATACAACCATTATGCTGGAATATATGCTAATTTGAGTGCTTGTGACAAGTATTCTCTCTCTCTCTCAGTGCTGGTGTGGGCCGAACGGGCTGCTTCATTGTGATTGATGCCATGTTGGAGCGTGTGAAGCAGGAGAAGACGATAGATATTTATGGTCACGTGACTCTGATGCGATCTCAGCGAAACTACATGGTGCAGACAGAGGAGCAGTACGTCTTTATTTATGATGCACTGCTGGAGGCTGTTTCCTGCGGCAACACAGAGGTTCCGGCACGGAATCTTTATTCCTACATCCAGACACTGTCACAGACAGAACCGCCGGAGCACATCAGCGGAATGGAGCAGGAATTTAAAGTCAGTACTTCCCATGAATGTAACATATATTTGTTACTTTTTTCAGTAACAAATTAACTGAAACTGTAACAGTTAAAATAGTAAAAACTGAAAAAACTGAATAAAAATATACATTTTAAAAGGAACAGACCACAACACTGTTACAGCTTTTTCATTAGTTCCATTTGTCTTATAAATAATATATAAAATACTCTATTGTCTCCTGTTGCTAGCAGTTGTATGTTGCTTTGTAATTAGCCTGTTCATAAAATTTAAATGTTGTTTATTTCTTTTTTCTGTATCCCTTTTTCAGCGCTTAGCTAATGCCAAAGCACATAACTCCCGATTCGTCAGTGCCAGCCTTCCATGCAATAAGTTCAAAAACCGATTGGTAAATATCATGCCATATGAGACCACACGTGTGTGTCTGCAGCCAATCAGAGGAGTGGAGGGCTCAGACTATGTCAATGGCAGTTTTATAGATGGCTACAGGTACATTGTGATCTTTCTTTTTTATAGATGTATTAGTAAAAATAAAACAGCACATCCACAAAACAAGTACACATCAACATTTGCAAGAAAGCCGGTGAAAATCTCAGTTCTTGACGTTTTTATTTCCTTCTCGTCACTCTAGGCAACAGAGGGCGTATATTGCGACTCAGGGGCCGCTGGCGGAGACAGTTGAAGATTACTGGCGAATGCTTTGGGAACATAATTCTACTATAGTAGTTATGCTTACTAAACTCAGAGAAATGGGAAGGGTTAGTTCACATACACATATACACGTCAGTGGTGTTTACTGTGATTGGTTGCTAATCAGTGTTATCTTAGTATTTATATACAATTTATAAATATTTTTAATTAGCTTTTAAGTTTTTATTTTCAGTTTTCATTTTAATTTGTAGTCATTTTGTCTTTTTTTTTCTTTTTAAATATGACTATTTGGGTTTCATTTGTTTCTATTTCTATTTATGTTTTAGTTTTATTTTTAACTGAGATCCAAATAGTATGTTTAGTGCTTCAACTTAGTTGTTTAAAGGGGTCCTATTATGCTCTTTTACAAAGTCTTGATTTTGTTTTGGGGGTGTACTAGAACAGGCTCTCACACTAGGTTGTTCGAAAAACATATCATATTTCACATTATTTTACATTATTACAACACCTCTGTCCCCAGTCTGGCACGAACGGCTCGAATAGTTTCTGTATCAAATGAAGGCCCGCCTTCTGAAATACGAAATGTGTTGTGATTGGTTAGCTGGGCCAGTGTGTGCTGTGATTGGTTAGCTGGGCCAGTGTGTGTTGTGATTGGCAGCATAGCCGCCTGCGAGCTTCATTTTAAATATTGCATCAAAATCAAATCAATTTGAGCGCGATTTAACCCAGAAGATTGTAACCACTCTACGTTCGTCTGCCTTGTGAAAACTAGCATGTCTCCGACATAATGATAACACTCGTTGCCTTCTCTAGTGCAGCTCAACCAGGTCTCGTCCCATTCGTCGATATTTGTGATATCACAAATCCTGGAAAATATGTCCAATAGTCCAAACGAGTCGTTCGTTGTAGTTTTTGAAACGTGATTTCTGTTAAATAAAATATCCCCTTTTGAAGTGGACTTTGAGCTTTGTAACTTTGCAGAACTTTTTTATGCTCAAACAGCAACATTACAGACTAACTAAAGTTGAAAAAGTGAAAAAACATAATAGGACCCCTTTAAGTTTCACTTTTTCGTCTGATACTTATATTTAATTTCAGCTGCATTTTACTTTTGAATAACGATAGTAACACTGATGAATGTGTGAACGTTTTTCTAATGCAGGAGAAATGTCATCAGTACTGGCCATCTGACAGGTCAGCACGCTATCAGTACTTTGTGGTGGATCCCATGGCGGAGTACAACATGCCTCAGTATATACTCCGAGAGTTTAAGGTCACAGATGCAAGGGTATGCCAAGCACTCATTAAAACCTTTAAGCTTTCCATGCTCATGAAAACCTGGAATAAACTCTTTTTTTTTATTCTGGAAACAAATATTATATTGTGAGTATACATTTTCCTACTGTAATGTACATATTCTACAAATCAAATTTTTTAAAGTAATTTTTGTGTATAACTTGCATTAGTTCTGTTAAATGCTTTGAGTCGTTTCTTTGGAATGATTCAGTCAAAATGATTGATTTTTATTATTCAGTATCACAGGGATTTTTACAGCATAAAAAGCTAGGTTTTCTCACTTACACTTTATAAAACTTTCATTCAAAACATTAAATAATGTTACTACATTATATGATGCTTGAAAGTCATTAGCTGGCAAATTAGAAATGATTTATTAGTTGGAACTATCATGAAAGTGTAATACAATTCCATGGTTTATATAACTTCTCCGCAGACCTCTGGTTGAAATGCTGCCACTCTCTGTCTCTCATGACGTGTCTCTTGCTCCTAGGACGGCCAATCCAGAACAGTCCGGCAGTTTCAGTTCACAGACTGGCCAGAGCAGGGCGTGCCAAAATCTGGTGAAGGCTTCATTGATTTTATCGGTCAAGTGCACAAAACAAAAGAGCAGTTTGGTCAGGATGGACCGATCACAGTACATTGCAGGTGAGGAGAATTATTGCGAAGGAATTTAGGATGGATTTGATCCTTTTTTTCCTTTTATGTGTTTAGTGACACAAAATATAGTCAGGGTTTATTTTGCAATAATGATTGGTTGACTGTGCATTCGCTTTTATTGCAAGGTTACCTACCAAATAAATAAAATGGAAATTAAATATATAGATTTGAGTCAAAATTACTCGGTTCAGGTCATCAAAAATTTAATAATTCAAATGACCAATCAGAGTCAAGCTGTGAAATAAAATGAATGAATTCACATTATAGTATTTAATGTATTACTCGATGTCACATTTTCTGTGCAGTGCTGGTGTTGGGAGGACAGGTGTATTTATCACTCTGAGTATAGTATTGGAGAGGATGCGTTATGAAGGAGTGGTTGACATCTTCCAGACTGTCAAAATGTTGCGCACTCAAAGACCAGCAATGGTGCAGACAGAGGTAAGCTTGCACACTGCAACCCACATGAGGCAGTATTCATGTCTTTCTATCCATACTACTCATAATTCTGTAATTCCTTTAGACTAGTACAAGTTAACAATTTTTCTAACGACTGCACATAATTTTGTTGAATATTAAAATGCTTTTTCATTTCGGAACTAAACATGCAAAGCCATTTGTAGGTTGATTCGCCATAAAAGTATAAAATGTGTCTGTAATGCTTTCAGCATTGCTGTATTTTGTAACTCTGGCTCGAACAATGGCATGCCATGTGTTTCTCGTTATTGTGACATTATATCTCAATTTATTTCTTATAACTGTGGCTTTATTACAAATTATTGTGACTTTCACATAGTTTTCTTTATTACATTATATCTCATAATTATTATTTTATTTCTTACAGTTGACTTTCTCATTATTTCTCCCACTTTGTTGCTCATAATTGCATCTGATCCCTACAATTCTGACTTTATATCTCGTAATTACAGCTTTGTTTTTCACGTGAATTTATAGCACACAATTGCAATTATTTTTCATAATTCTGACATAATTCTTATAGTTGTGTTATTTCTTATTATTGCTACTTTATATCTCACAACTGTGGCTTTATATTCATAAATGACTTTATTTCTTCCAGTTATGATAATTCTCTTTATTGTTAGTACTTTATAGCTCATAATTGCATCTATTTCAACCAACTGTGACTTTATATTTCATAATTACAACTTTATTTTTTATAATTATGAATTTATTTCTCATTATTGACTTTATATCTCATAGTTGGCTATTTCTTTCAAATGTTCACTTTATTACTTCTAATAAATGTGATTTTATCTCTCATAATTGTAACTTCATATCTCACAGTTGTCACTTAAAATTGTGACTATTTCTCATAACTGTCTTTTCATATTTCAAAATTGCAATTTTATTGTTATTACTTTATAGCTCATAATTGCATCTATTTCAACCAACTGTGACTTTATATTTCATAATTACATCTTAATTTTTTATAATTATGAATTTATTTCTCATTATTGACTTTATATCTCATAGTTGGCTATTTCTTTCAAATGTTCACTTTATTACTTCTAATAAATGTGATTTTATCTCTCATAATTGTAACTTCATATCTCACAGTTGTCACTTAAAATTGTGACTATTTCTCATAACTGTCTTTTCATATTTCAAAATTGCAATTTTATTTTTTACCAAACAGCTTTCAATAGTGTACTAATCAGCAGTCTGAGATTCGGCTCAAATGATGTGGGTGTGTGTGTGTGTGTGTATGTGTATGTGTATGTGTATGTGTATGTTGTCACTTAAAATTGTGACTATTTCTCATAACTGTCTTTTCATATTTCAAAATTGCAATTTTAATTTTACCAAACAGCTTTCAATAGTGTACTAATCAGCAGTCTGAGATTCGGCTCAAATGATGTGTGTGTGTGTGTGTGTGTGTGTGTGTGTGTGTGTCCTCCACAGGAGCAGTACCAGTTCTGCTATCGAGCAGCGCTGGAATACCTGGGCAGTTTTGATCACTATGCAACATAAAACCTTCCCCTGGACCTAGGGCCACATCATTACACACCGAGACCTGCGTCTGATCAACCTGACAGCCTCTTTCTGTTGCCCACAGCTCAAGAGTCTGTTTGATTTCTCCCGACAGCACACAATTTAATAGCCAGACAGGGAGGGCATCTGGGATACAGAATTGTCACAACAAATTGTAGCTCCAATCATATAGCTGAAAGTAGTCAAGTCATATTTGAGGTGGAGTAAAACTCTGGCAACCGGCCAGCAGATCCAATGAAATCGCAGGAATCCAACAATGTGCTGTCTGGACCAATTCAACAGACCAAAAACGAGGGAGGAAACAACAATCAAGCAGTTTGATGGTATTTTTTTACTTATCATAATTGATTCAACACCAGAACACCCCCCCCCCCCCCCCCCCCCCCCCCCCCCCAGTCCGGGTTTAGAGTTTCCACTGTTTTTGTCACCAGTTGTATAGTGGATCCACCAACTCACTAAAGTGATACATACAAAATGAAATTCAACGACACCCTAAGTATTGGTGCTTATGCCAGTATCCTGTCCGTTTATCTGTAGCACACACACATAGATATATACACATAGATCCATAGCTATCACAGATTTAAGACAAGGAAAAATAACAAGCTGAAAATGGAGATTTGTCTCAAAAACTGTGCAATATTGAACGTGAAGCGCACCTTCAAGTTTAAAACCACTCAAGTATTAGAGATATTCTCACTGTAATTATATTGTCTCATTAATCCTATATGATATAAAGTATCAAACAAAACGTTATTATGCATATTAGCACATTATATAAAAAAATTGTCAATGTACTGAGTGATATTTATACTATGTGAGTGAGGTACTTGTTCAGCGCACATAAGTTACGAAAAGTACTGATTGCAGTAATATTTAAAAAGGATTTTTCTTTTTCACTAAACTTACCAAAACAACTATTTACATGCTTTCAATCAGGATTGGAAGATCAAATGTTGCCCTCTAAACATGAGGTGACACGTTTAAAACAATAGCATAATGGATCATCTGACACTGCTAGTGCCTTATCATAGTCACGTTTAAAATGGTTCGCTATTAAAGTTAAATGTTCCACATTTATGGATATGAACCTGCTTTTATGTTTAAAAAAAATATAAACCTGACGTAAATACAGTTACATCCTCCAGAGTCAATTTTAATATATAATATATTTCACACCAAGACCAATTTTAAGTACCAGGGTGGTTTATTCATTCAAGTGAAGTACTGCCAAGATGACTAGACAATTATATTACTGAAAGCCAATATGTGTCCATTTTTGAGAGGACACACATTTATTGTATCTATATTGGGCCAAGAGAACGGCATATCCCATTACATATATGATAGCGATTATATTAAAAATCATTTGTATTTGAAATTATAATGGAGTATAGAACAGGAAATAGTTTTCTCGCTTTCAGTCCATACCGCTGCAGGAAACGTGCATTTCTAACTGTTAATGTCTGCATTCTTGTTGATCAGCGTTGTGATCGTATCAGTGATGTTAAGTGTGTTAACATCAACAAAAAGAACATTTTTCATGCTGGTGAGGACGCATTCGAAAGGGGGATTTTAAAAGCCAGAGCTAGTTGAACTATATTACTTTTTAAAAGACTTTTCACTTGAAGTTTGAGGTCCAGATTTTGATTCATAAAACATTGCATGATCAATTAGATCTACAACTTTGGGAACAAACTCGCACATAGAAATGGCCCTATTGTGTCTATATCAATATCATGGACCGTAACAGTCGTATGGTTATGGTTTTGGATATGACTGCACTCTTGTTCTATGCACTAACCCTTACTATTTCTTCAACACAGAATGTTATTTGTATTGAATGAGATGAATTTCACAGTGTGTGCATGTTAAGAGAAACACAAGTTTTGGTTCCAAAGCCTAAGACAATATGTGCATATTGTTATTGTTGAAAACTTTAGATGACAGGGTGGTTTAATATGAGTGGTTTTCCTTCTAGTCCAGTGGTAATAGTCATCATTCAGTAATTCCAAGAAAGTCTGGTCACTGCGAACTTCAGCTCATTTTACATTCGGTGTAAAGAAATGTGTTCCTTTCTTTGCAGCATCTTTGTGTACTTTTTTTTTTTTAACCAGAGTTGAAACGGTTTTGTATTTGAAATCTAACATGCAAATCCTCCATTATCTACCTTCTCCATATTGTTACACTTTACAACCAAGTTTCAGGGTTTTTCAAATTTGAAAGTAGCCATGCTTATATTTTCAAGAGGATATCAATTAGCGTTTATTTGATGGGAAATTCTATGCTAATCTGTTAGTGTTTTGATGGGGGGGGGGGGATTAAAAATCATCTATTTTCCAGTGCATGACAGTCCCCATTTGTACAGATGCGAAGGCACCATCCGATTTTGATGAATCATGACATTGTTTCATGTGGAAAAATAAACTAGCACAATCTATATCATGTAATCTGACCAAATATGCATTGTATCACCATTTTCATATTGTCGAACGTTGTGAGTGGTTTTACAATTTCACCCATCAATTAATGTGAAACACAAAAGGGAAATCTTTTACCTCTGATTTTGTAGTAAATGTAAATATTTCAGAGGATGTTTTCTTTTTTTAATTTTCCTACTTTATGTTGTAAGGACAGGTGTGTGAAAATACAATTGTAATGGAAAAATTTTATTTGTTACAAATAAAACGGTAAGAATTGTCCAACGAGTCATTATTTGTCCATGCTTCATGATCAGTGATTAGTTTATATTGACCAGCAAAAATATTCAAGAAAACGCAAATATCTGTATCATCTTTGATACACAACTTAAGGCTTTTAAATGAGCAATATTATCAAAACTTTACTGAGACCGAGAGAGAAAAAAACTTCTACAGGCCTTCTGATTTATAGCTTATACTTTTTAGTATCATTTTTACTTTATCATTTGTCCAACTTTAGGTTATAATATTTTTTTTTAATGTCAAATCTTTACTGATTTTTATAATGTAAATGTAAGCGTACATTTTACATTATTAGTAATATTTCAAGTTGGAACACTTACTGGACTGACACAAATAATTTTTAGGGAAAAAATCATGTTAAAATGTATCAAATATGATGCACAAGACTTAAGTAATAACAATTTGTACATCTCTTATTCATCATTGTATTGCATTGCATTACATGTTTTGCCCTAAAATAAAAAATGTGAGCTTTGAGTTTAAAACTAAGCATTTAAATATCATCTTACTAAGACATTATTTAACAACTGATATTTCTATGCATTTTATGTAAGTAGTCTGCTATACTGTTATATAATCCCATTGATTTACTATCAGAATTTCATCTTATTTTTTACTTGGACAACAAGCTTTTCCGGAAAAAACAGTTGTTAGCGCCCAGTTTAACAATGAGTATACTTTACAATATAATAATGACAATATTATAAACCAATGCCATTAAGACAATCTTAACAATGGAGTAACCTTTTTTAGTTTTAGTAAATTTGGATTCAATTTTGTGTCAAAATTAATTTAATGTAAAGAATATGTATATCTCATTTGCTATTAAACTGATGCATTGCAGCATTATAGCCATTTTTAAATTTAAATAAATGGAGAATATTTTATTTTAACAATGTCTGGAGTGCTGGTAAGATTTTATATTAATTCCAGGCACTTTTATAGGGCCTTAAAGAAGCTGAGAAACACATTCACCTAATGAACAACAAAACCACTTTAGAATTCTTGTGCAACTTTCTGCTGGAATTGCACCCAAACAAATCTCTTTGGTTCCAAGCCTCAATTTGATTGTTTTGCCAATCAAAACTATTTACTACTTTTGTGTGTGAAGCTTTCAAATCAGCAATCGGGTCCAAAGTGAGACCAGTCAAAGCAATGTGCTGTTTGGCTCAAACAAACACCAAATTGCAGCCAATTCTGAAATAAATCACTCCTTTGACAAGGGTTATATATTTCAATAGTCATTGTTTCACGTTTCAATTCTTGTCAACTCATTTTAACACAAACACATGCTCAGTTTCAGAATAATATTCATGTTTACTATGATACTGCAGATGTCGGGTAAAAAGGCCATTACTCAATCACAAGAACTTCGGGCACCAAAATAAGGAAAAAAAATAAAGTAAAAACACTCACTTCGCATTCCTGACTGCTTTAATAAATCAGAGCCAAGTGTGTCTTTTCCACTTGGACTCATTCAAGCAGGAATCAGCTGTATAAAACAGTCAAGCACATTCTGCACACCTGCATTGGATAAGTCAGTCAACAAGTAAACATTAGACGAGTGGGACGTTCACACATTCACTACCATCTGTCATCATACAAGCATTGATATTCAAGGAGAAAGCATTCCAAAGTTCTCCCAAAGATGACGTGATTTTTATCTAATCACAACATTCAAGTTCATATCCTATTGTTTTTTTTTCTTTTTGGTTTTCTTACATGTAAAACCTCTGTCTGTCTTTTGATTGGCAAATAGTTAAAAACTGTTCGTGGCAGCCATGCTGATCGGTAACATGTTTGTTTCAGTCTTGGCCCTTTAACAGTTCACAGAGTATGAAAAAAGTTCTGCCACAGGCATCTGGAAAAATAACAGATTTTATCTCCCAAAACACAATGATGAGTAACAATTCCACACTGAACTGAATGAGGGGAAAAAAAAGATCAGTCTTTTGTTACACGGTTTGATTTCTTTAGCTTATCCGTTCATTTTTTCGTACCAACATTCAAATTTCAATACTGCTGAAGTTCTACAAAGGCATAAATAAAAACAGAGTATAATACAGGATGCTGTATAAAATTTGAAATAAAATTTGTATACTTTGTTTTTTGGAAATGATAATTACCAGAGAGGCAAATGACGTTTTTGAGAGCAGGAAAACACCAAGTATACCCCTGAGATTAAAATTAATTCCCTATATGCATGTGAGACCAGTCTACTCATTGCCTGAAACTACACATTGCGCTACGGAAAACTTGGAAGGCACAAAAACTGGGGTTTTCTGACCCCAAGACTCCACACACACACACACACACACACACACACACACACAGCTGAAGACCCCAGTTCACTCGTAACAAATGACTCCAACACTTCACATCAGTACGAAACACTTAAAAGATAATCACGGTAACAGAATCAGTGTCCGTGTGGGTCAGGATACTTCAACTTGGGGCCTGCAGTGGAAGGAGATTTTCAAAACGAGTAGAAATAAAAAAAGACCAGCTGAGTCAAAAGTCAAAGTTCATACTTTAGAGGGAGCAAGGCAGTGATTGAAGGTTAAGGGCCAGAATTCAGAGAGAATCTTCACAGTTGAGATGCTCTGCGAATGATGGATGGCCTGCATTAAGGCTGGATAATCATAGAT